TCGCCGCGGCGGCCGCCACGAGCCTCGAGCCGGCCACAATAACCGCTGGGCGAGAGCCCGGGCTCGCCGGCCGGCGTGCGGTCGCCCGTGCACCCAGCCGCTCGGAGCTCCGCCGCCGGCTCCAGGCCCCGCGCTCAGCGTCCGGGGGGGAGGGTCCTCCCCAGAGCCCGCGGGGCTCGCGGAGCGCCCGCGGCTGCAGCCGGCCGCTCGCCCTCCCGATAGGCAGGCATTGTCTGGCGGCCGCGCGTTCCCCAGTCGCTCGCTTCTCCCGCAAAGTGCTCCCCACCCGCTCCTCCCTTTGTATAACCGTATTGCCGGGAGAGATCCCTTCTCTTCTGGTAGATGACGAGCCGGACGGCAAAATTTTCCACTCTCCCCTAGCAAACCTGCCTTCGTCCCCATCCCCCTCCCACATCAAAGCACGGACACTTACCAGGAATAAGGTCAGGAACGAATCGCCCAAATAAGGCCACCTGGAACCGGGAGAGGCAATCGAGTGCTTCTTTTGCCTATTGTATCAGTGCATTTCCATGTCAAGAGGTGTTGATATTGCTGTCTCGTAGGCTGTGCCTAAAGAGAGGAGAGAGAGAGAGAGATGGAGAGATGGGGTGAAAGAGATGAGGAGAGTAAGAGGGGTGAGAGCGAGAGAGCGAGAGCGAGACAGCGAGAGCGCGCGGAGAGAGTTGTACAGATGGACCCGATGCAGTGACTGACTGGCACGCAGACACACACTTTTTGTTTGCTGCACATAATCTGCCCAATGACGCGTGACAGCCCACGTCCCCTCCCTTTAACTCTTTGCTGGGCTGGGCGCTCCCTCCGGCGCCGCCTGCCTCGAAGCGGTCTCTCTGGCCTGCCTGCGCCCCGCAGGTCCTGAGCTCCCCAAGTGGCAAAGCCTCTCTGGGCGCAGCCTGGCCCGCATCCTCCTAAAGCTTCGGCCCTCTGGGACTGTGAGGAGGGGGAAATCAGTGTCGAGGTCAGAAAGGGGAGTACCAAAAGACCTGGAGCGGGCCTTTCTCCGTTTCTCTTGGCACTTGGAGAACCTCTGGCAGAGAGCTGGCCACCCAGCGCGCGCACGGACCCCGCGCGCCTTTCCCGAGTCTGAGTTTGGCGAAGGGGAGGAGGGTTACGGATTAGCCCCGCGGGATTCTCTGGCCACTGAGCCACCGCTGATTTGCGCAGCTAGTTGCCCGGGGGTGATAAAACGGCGCCAGCTCTCCCTTGGAGCGCTCACCGTACCATGCCCTTCCGAGCAAGATTCAGAAAGGATGCGCTTTGGTGAGAACTTGGCTCTGTCTCCCCCCGGATCCAGAGATGGGGTGAGGATGCTGGAGCGCGGACGCCACCAGATCGCAGCAGGGGACTTACTGGGGTCTTCTGGTCCCAGAACTCGAGTATCCGGGCCGGGGGAGAGGTGAGGGGGAGAAGGGTGGGAAGAATCCAGGTTACTAGGCTCAAGCAGTCCCAGCTCTTCCGCTGCCTGGCGAGCTCTTCGTTGTCCCCGAGGGGGTCCCATGTTGGGGGCGGCCCGTGTTCTAAGACCTCGGAGGGGGGTAGTCAAAGTAAAAATTATTACCGAGATGGGCTCCGGAGAGCAATTCACGTGCAGCCGGTGGTGGAAGAGCGGATGGAGTTGCCGCGGCCGTCTCGGGAGCCTCGTTTGTGCGCTAAGCCACTTAGAGGCGCTGGCTTGCCCCTTTAGTGCAGCAGCTGAAGCTAATGACTTGAGGACTTTAACAGCCTGAAAGTTGACTCCTTCCACAGGGGCCGCAACACATTTTCGCTGGGGATTCTCAGGGTTCTCTTTCACCTTTCAACTACCAAATCCTAAGGGAAGAAAGACCTTTAGTGTATAGACAGCTCCACTCTCTCAGCCCCACCCACAACACCACCAATTTGAAGGGGGGCAGTATGTTAGCTTTAGGATGAATCAGATTGTGTAGCCGGCTTAAGTGGACCGAACAGAACCACGACTTAGGAAGGACACAGCCTCGGTTTTTTTTTTTTTTTTTAATC